GGGCAGGAAGTCCAGCCAGGGATTGGCGGGGGAGAGGACACTAGTTTGTATGCCTTAGAAGAAGGTAAAATATCATCAATATCATCCAACTTTCATGGAGCACGTATGTCGCAGTGATGCTGAGAAACGCCACTTAGGTTATGTAGTGGTACATAGAGGAAGGTACGATTTGGCTCAAAACAGTAGACGCTCGACATCCCTCGAGTACACCACCGAATACAAGCGAGAAGTACGTCTCTTACAGAATTTAGGCAAAAACAATATAGGATTTTGCGCAATATAGGATTTTGCGCATACCTCTTAAGAAGTTACGTCGGACACATCTATTTTAAAAAAACTCAAAGTTTGCCGCATGACCTACCGTGTACATCCATGAAAGACAGCTTCTTCTCGACACTCCAGTACTCTCTACCAATTGGACGACCAGATGATGTACTTTCGTCGGCATCCTCTCCTGGCAATATCAGAAGGCGCTCGGGCGCGTCCGATGCGCTCCCTGGCGGGGCGGGAATGATCCGCGGAACCTCTGCCCGGCGTCTCAGCAAATCCATGTATCCAGGCAGGTACAAATGGGTATGGACATCGATGGTATTTCCGAATGCAGCCTTGCCCCTTATAGCCCGGTACGGATTTGAAGATTGGTACGCCTCCGAGTTGAGGGTGGTGGTATGAATTGGTGAAGACCTTTTTCGAGGAGGTTGGCGAGGGCAAGGACGACGGGCTGATCTCGACGCAAAACCAGAAGGTGGATCCCCGATGCCTTTCTGTGATAATCCACGGGTTCCATATTTTAAACCTCTGCGTAGATGCGCCCTTCCTTCCATGCCACTGTACAATTGTATGGGGGAGAAAAGGCGCTTGGCAAAGGGGCGGGGACAGCCTCGCGGGTTTTTGCCGGCGCGTGCGTTGCACTTTTCCCATGCACTTCAACTCCAGGCCCTACATAGCCACACTGTTCTGTTTCCCGGAACCGGAAAGGGGCCCACCGGGGCTCCGAGCATGCGGGCACGCTCGAATTTTCTTAATCTTGGGGTTGCTTGTGTCATTTATCCTGTCTTTTTTCGCTTTTCGTTGGTTGTACAGTTTTGAATCATGCTTGACATCATTACCCTTCTAGCTAATCCTATTTCGGAGAAGGTGTCAAGAGATTTTGCGAACATTCTTTCTCACATGAAAAGGTCGATAAACCTTCAAAGTGTTGAATTTGGTCATAGCTTAAATTTCAATACGGACATGAGGTCTTGCTTGCGAGATTGCATTCGGTATTCCAGGAATTGAGACAAGAACTTATTTTCCTTTTTCCTTCCCACAGGCAAACATCAACGTTCTGTCTCTTATCAAGTATTTGTACTTTGTCCAGAACAAGCTAACCACTTGCAATCAGACAATGCATCGCTACAAACATTTCGCCATACGTGGCATATATGGTCATTGGGGTCATCAAGGACAAGGCTATCAAATCATGTCAAGTTCCCTTCGGGTGACACAGTCCCGATCCGCCTCCCACGTGCCATCCTCTTCAACCATCCCAAGTTTTACCACCCTCGTCGAAATGCAACAAAGGTGAGGAAAATGTTGCATCTGTTATGTGGACGTACTCGAAAAATCCATTTGATTCGCGCGTGCATCGTTAACCTCCTTTTTTTTGCTTGACAGTGTCGCTAGGACACAGGGTAAAAAGGACTTTTTGGGCTATAAACCTTGCCCTAGCAGCAAATACAAATGGATTACATACCAGGCCTTCAATGATATGGTTGGCAAGGCCAAATTTGTGCTACGGGAAGCAGGAATTGGTCCTGGGGACAAGGTAAATACGTAATAATTATGATGTCATTCGCGTTTGATGCGTGATGCCGGTCGGGCAGCCCATTTACAGCTTTCTTTCTTGGCCATTTCACGCTGTAAAAATATCCATTATTGTGCAACCACTTGATATGTATGAGGGATTTGAACTTTCTAGGCTGCCCATTAGTCAAAGGTCAAGTAGACGTGATTTGGAATCAAGACGCATGCCAAGCCTCTCAGAGAGGAGGCAGGGTGATATTGCGTGGGTTTTTTTTCTTTGGCTTCTAGTCCCCATGGCTGCATTTTCCATGAGCCATGTCAAATTTGGACCAGTCACACCTAAAGTAACATCTGACCGATTAGGTGGCAGCTCTAAGCGGCAACCGTGTGGAATGGGCCGTTGGGTGCATGGCGTCACTCAGCCTGGGCGCGACGTGGGTGCCGATGTATGAGCAACAGCGACTAACGGAATGCGAGTATATCCTGAGAGACTCGGGCGCTAAGCTCTTGCTGGTAGGAAGCAGGGAGGCTTACGATAAGACCCGGCATTTCCTTACGCGCCCTTCTAGGAATCCTGCTTTCGCGCAAGGCGACGCGCTTTCCGTTATAAATATGCAGGAATCGAAGACTGTATCATCTCTAAAGGATATTTGGACCTTCGACGTAGATGTTCCTGCTCGCATGGCCCGCGTCACTGGGGTAATGACTGCTGAGGCGGACGCCTGCTTTGCCTCTGCGGTCGTTCGGCCCGACGATGTCGCTGTCCTAATTTACACATCTGGAACTACGGGGACGCCGAAGGGAGTGGAATTGACTCACAGAAACCTTTGCACTAACATCGAAGGAATGTGGGAGGTAGTGCGACCTGAGGACATGCCTAATGCCCTCTCTTTGGCATTTCTGCCGTGGGCGCACAGCATTGGTATGAACTGCGAGCTATTCAACATGATGAGCCGCGGGGCCCGTGTTGCCCTCGCGCAAGATATGACGACCATTGCGAGTGACATCAAGGAAGTCCGTCCTAATATCCTGTTCGCAGTACCAACACTCTATAAAAAGGTGTATGATCGCATTCAAGATAAAATCACATCGCAAGGGAAATGGAGTCGGTGGCTGGTTGATAAAGCGGTGGCAGTCGCGGAAAAAAGACTGGAGATATTGCGAGAAGGAAAACGATTGAGTCTCGGACTACAGGCCCAATATGAGGTGCTCGACCATATCGTGCTCAGTAAACTTCGAGACACTTTAGGAGGACGTGTGCGAATTTCGCCAGTGGGCGGGTCCAAGATGAGTTTACCAGTCACGCGTTTCTTTGAAGCGGCACTAGGAATAGCTATCTTAGAGGGCTATGGCTTATCGGAGACCAGCCCACTCTTGAGCATAAGCCGACCAGACATCCAAATTCGCCGCCTAGGGTCTGTCGGACAAGCAGTGAAGGGAGCGGAACTGGCCGTTGTGCGTGACGGGTTGCGTGTGCCAGAGGGTGAGGAAGGAGAGATCTGGGCGTCCGGGCCCATGGTCTTCAAAGGGTACTTGAAGAAAAAAGAAGAGACTGCGGCTGCATTTGGGGAAATGGACGGGAAAAAGTGGTTTCGTACCGGTGATTTGGGAACGCTTGAACAAGGATTTCTGACGGTGAGTAAAGAAATGGGGGAAGGAACCAGTGAAAGGCGGGGAAAGGACAAGGAGTCTCGGGGAAAGATAAGGGAAATATTTATTCTCCAACGGACAGGGGATCATCAAAGCAGCAAATGCAAGCAAACTCACAATCTATTACGCATTTGATACGATGTTACAGATTACCGGCCGTCTGAAAGAACTCTACAAGCTTGAAAATGGCAAATATGTATGTGCGCCTGTGGTTGAAAAAGCCCTTCTTGAGAGCGAATACATCTTCCAAGTGGTTCTGTATGGAGCCGATCTTCCTTTCAACACCGCGCTTATTGTTCCCAATTGGGAAAAGCTCACTGCTTGGTGTGTCAGCAAGAAGCTTCCCGGTTTATCTGCCTCTTCTAGAAAAACAGAAATTCGGACTCATCCGGAAGTGCAGGCATTCATGCGAGAAAATATCGTGCTTGCCTGTAAAGACAAGATGAAAAAGTATGAAATGCCTCAAAAATGGCTTCTGCTCGAGGAGCCTTTTACTGTGGAGAATGAGATGCTGACCCCCAAAATGAGTATCAAGCGCCACGCGGTCATCAAAGCATACGGCTCTGCTTTAAATGCCATCTATGACCAGGCGAACGTAGCCTCGTATCCCAAGAGCCGTGCGAAAGAAACTCCAGACACACAACAGCCTTATGAAGATGCTCTAGCAGCTTGATATCCATATAAAAGCTTAATAGAAGTGCTATTCGGCCTTGAAATACAAGAGTTATGAAAGAAAATGTGAGGTGTACGCTCATGAAACACTGATGCAAGTCGAAATTGCCTGGCCGACACCAAAAGATTGCCCCAAGACAAAAAGAAGTCACTTCTGCTGTAACCACAGGGATTTATAGCACCAAAAAAAATCGTGATACACGCTGAAGGCAATCAATGATGGCGTCTGTCAACCGTTTTACGTGGTAGCACACAGTCGGAATAGTTGGCATGCGGAAATGGAACGCGCGAGCAAAGCGCAAAGACAACTACTTCAAAGACAAGCAACTTTCAGTACATGGAGACATTCATGGTATATTTGAGCCGTGTAAGCAAACATCGAATTATTGAAACAAGAGGAGGCGATCTACTGAACGAGGAGAAAGAATAAGCTGTACGTATTTAAATCATTCAGTAATACAGCTTCAAAAACATGCTCTTTCTTCATTCATACGTTCGTGAGATTTTTCTCCATTGCCTCTCGTAATATCTTTTGCAAGCATAGGAGGGTCAAGGCGATGCCGAAGCATATGGGCATAACATTGCTTCAGTTCTCGACGATACTCGTCCGCCTTGAGCCTCTCTCGATCATAGCTCTGCGTTGCGTGGGACTCATCAAGCTGAGCAATTGCTAGCATTTCGATTAGGATCTGATTTTTAAATTGAAGTGTAGCAATCTCCTCAGCTGAAGCTTTGGAAGCCGCCTCCGCCTCTCCGTCAAGCTTCGAACGATAATCCTCTTCGCAGCCTTCTGGACGGGTCACCCGCTGCTCCCATCGTACTTCGCTGAGCTGATCTGTCAATTTTTGTAATTTCTGTTTATACTCTCGGTGAATTTTGTCATCGACTTGCCAACCATGGTCGGTGAACACCAGTCGTGTCTTTCCTGAGGTCCCTAGTGTCATGTCTAAGCTTAAAATATCCTCTTCACCCCGTGAATCAACCATTTCTCCGTATCCTGACTCAAAACCCTCCGAGCTGCTGGATATGGCGGATGACTTTCCAGTTAACGACCAAACACTTGCGTTGGTCTTCAAAGTTGAGTTTCGAGGTGCATCAGAACTTCCCAAAAGCTTTCTGTTTTTCCGCATGATCTTGCCCTTAAAAGAGGACGATAACTTTTTCAATTGCGAATACGATGACGAAAGGTAGGGCGATGGCAGATCCCCAACGCCTAAAAAAAATGACATTAGACTTTCGAAATGATGTGCCAAAAATATGCCGGACTCGTATGTTGAGGAAAAATCTGCCAGGCATCTTCCTGAATTAAAAGAGGGATGGGCCCGTGGAACAATCGCGGTAACGGCGGGCGCGCAACGGCCGCTCGCTTGACGGCTCGTTGCCCGTCCGTTGCTGCCAAGCCCTGAATTTCAAAGGCATCTCGCGCAGAGCAGCTCCAGACCTCAGCTCTTTCGCTTGACCATGCTTAAGAGACACGAAAATGGATCCACTGACCTTCAATTTTGAAACAGCATGGTGGCCACCCGTAGTAAGGCAAAAGGGGCAAGTGGGGCTCTCGTCTCCTCGCCTTCCCCTTCGGCGAGTAGAAGACCCATCCCATCAGACTTGTCCAACCGCCTGTGGGATGCCTTTTACGTGGTACTGCTGTTGACGGCCCCCCTCAAGCTTCTTCTTGACGTTCCGGTTGATGCTTTTGGGCGGGAGTCTGCAAATGCCCGGAAATATATCTTGGAGCAACTGGGTCTGGCAGCAGCAGGATGCTCAGGGGTGGTCTACATGGTAAATGTGATGGGAGAGTATTGCCGACGAAAGCAACAGACAGGAAAGGATTTGTGCAAGAAAGGCACACCATTAGGAGAAGTCCCTATTCCCGAATCGCAGGGCTTGGCGCCGGGCATAATATACCTGATCATCATAATTGCATGTCAGCTGCTGTACACACAAAGCCCTGAAAGCTTGGCCAACTACAATTCTTCTCTACTCTCAATTTGTTTTATGCTCTTTTTGGGCTTTGTCGATGATGTACTGGTACGTAGCGCAGGGGCCGGTCATCCGGGAAGTGCCAAGGGATTTTTTTCTTCTCGATGTGCAAAACCCAGAGACCATAGTCAAGCCCCTGGTTCCCGCCATCGCCATCCGATTACTCCTCTTCACCTTTTTCCTTGTCACTTTTCAATTTAGGACCTCCCTTGGCGATTCAAACTCATTCTTCCTCCAATAGCAACACTTCCGCTCCTCTGCTCCTACAGCGGCTCAACTTCCGTCATCATTCCCAAGCCTCTTCGAGGTCTTCTCTGGCGACACAGCGACGGGGGAGGCCTGACTCCACTAGGACAGCTGCTCAGTTTGTTTGTCACCATTGACGGACAAGCTCAGGGGAAAATTGTGGAGTTGGGGCTCTTTTTCATGATCTACATGGCGTTGTTAGCTGTCTTCTGCACGAACGCGATCAATATCTACGCGGGGATAAACGGCCTTGAGGCGGGGCAGTCGCTGGTGATCGCCGTGGGAGTCTTGGCTTTCACGCTAACGGAGATTCTCTATGAAAACGATGGAAAAGGTAAGGAAAGAAAAAGGCATGGGAGCACGGTCCTTGAAATCTACGGACGCCCTTCGTATCTCATGCCCTCTACACCTCCGTCAGCGAGTCCCACCCAGGTTCTTTCCCTCACGCTCGTCCTCCCCTTCATTGGGGTCGTCCTCGGACTCCTCTACCACAACTTCTATCCCGCACGGGCCTTCGTGGGTGACACCTTTTGCTATTTTGCCGGCATGACCTTCGCCGTGATCGGCGTCCACGGCCACTTCTCCAAGACCCTCTGCTTCCTCTTTCTTCCTCAAATCGCAAATTTCCTCCTCTCTCTCCCCCAGCTCTTCAAAATCGTGCCCTGTCCCCGACACAGACTCCCTCGTGTGGACCCCTCTCTTGACCGACTCCTCCCCTCCCTTTGCCCGTGCGCGAGCGAAGAGCACCGGTGGGCCAAGCGCCTCTTCGGGCTCCCTCCCGACAGCGACCACTTTATCAATCTGACGCTCATCAACGCGGTCCTCAGAGTGGTGGGCCCACTCCACGAGCGAACGCTTTGCCTTTTGCTGCTACTTCTGCAGGTGGTCTGCTGCCTCGGCACCATGTTTCTTCGCTTCTACCTGGCCAATATGTTCACATGAAGGTGGAAGGAGAGGACGATAGACGCGATGGATCGAATGTGTGGGGGGGTCAGTGATCCGGCGCGTAACATCGTGGGTTTGTAAAGAGCAACGAATCCATGCTTCTCGACTCAACGGAAGCGATCAAAAAAATTGTGCTTTCTTTTGGGTGCTGACCCAGCCAATTTACCCTTTACATTGCCAGCCCGAACGCCGCCCTTGTCATCGTTTCCGGCTTCCATCCTACATGGGCAGCATCGTATCCCATTTTTTCCGCCGACCGGTCCGGAGTTTCTTGCGCAACCGCACGCAGAAGGCGAAGCAGAGGACGAGCATGATGCCGCTCACGAACGCGTAGTCCCGCGACAAGGCCGCCAGCTCCCCGATGCTCCGCACCTGGCCCCCCATCGCCCTATCTTCCCCCGCCGTCTCTGTGTCGTGCACGTCGTATCCCTTCACCATTTCCTCGTAGAGCGCCTCCCACTCCGGCTCCCCACTGGCCCCCTCCTTGCCCCAGCACCTCGGACACTTCCTCACCGGCGGCCACCGCCGCTTTCCCAGGCGCACGTTCACTTTGTCGTGCAGGTCGTAGACCCACCAGACCGCCCCCTTGGGCCCCCTGTCCGCCCACCGGCCCCGCGTTTCCTCGAAGGCATTCAGGAAGTGGTCCCTGCACTCCTGGCAGCCGAAGAAGTTCGAGACGAAGCCCTCGATCACCAGCAGGACGTTAAGAGGGGAGACCACACTCGTGGAGGAAGAGGCGGCCTTGTCGCGGGCGCGGACGGCGCTCTTCACGGAGAGGAGGTGAAAGAGCGTCCAGAGGCCGCACGTGTAGCCAGCCTCCCGCCCACAGACCGCCCACTCGTAGGACCGCTTGCTTGCCCTTTCCCCCCCTTCACCACCTTCTCCTCCCGCCCTGCTCGCAGCGTGCAGGGATGGGAGCACTGGATCAAGGTGCCGGGCAAGTAAGTCTTCCCACTCTGCGATGCCGATCTCCTTCAAGGGGTACACGGCCTCCAGTAAGCCTCGGAAGAGTCGGCGTCGTGGCCCTCCCGGGAAAAGCAGGGACAGCACGTGCAGCAAATCGCGCAGGCTACTTAAGGCCTGACCCCTGAGGACTTTCGAGCCCAGAAATAAGTCGTGGTCCAAGGCGAAGCGCAAGGAGGTGAAGGCATCCTCCACCCTCGCACGTCGAAGCGCAGGGATGCTCAGACTATCCTCAGCCTCCAAGTCGCCCGGAGCTTGAGATCTGGTACGTGTGTTCGGGGATTGTGGTCCTTCCTTCTTTGGAGTGGCGGCAATATTAGATGCGGCAGGCGCAGCTCGTGACGAGTCGGGCCCCGGTTGATCCTGGGAGACGGAAGTTTCTCTGGGCGCCGACCTCGCCGGCTCTCGTGCTTCATTGCCCATAAGAACTTCTCCCTCGTCTTCCCCAGCAACTTGCTCAGTAAATTTGGATGTGATCCAACTGATCAGATCCTCGTCATTGTTATTGGGAATGGCCGTGCCTTTTCCGTTACTGCCTCGCACGCCGTAGGCCTTGAGCGTGGGGTACGCATGGACCCTCTCATCCTGACATGCCCCTGCCTCAGCCAGGCAACTTACAGCACCAATTTGAAGCCCCCCCAGCTCCTTTTTTCCTCTTAGCGCCCCCCACACGGCTGCCCACGTGGGTGCAAAATGTTGGCAGTGCCCGCATGTAGGAGAGTAAAACATGATCGCCCACGGCTCCCCATTTGCCTTGAGCGACTCGAAGGCCGTACGACTGAGGTCTTCCACACTTTTAAGCTCCGGCCGCGAGCTATCAGAGGCTTTACTGAAGAGATATTGCTCGTAGGCGTAAGAAGTAGGGAGCAGCAGAGAAAGCAAGAAGATGAGGGGAGGAAGCAGACAGGCGGTACATGAGGTGTGTAGCCGGGTTTTTCTTATGCGCGTGATTTCCCGCATATCACGCCCCAGGATGCGTCGCACACTCATAGCGCACGAGTCACGCCTGGTTCGCTCCCATGGCTTCCACATCATCCCTGTAATTACCAAGGACGTGAGTGAAAGAGGCAAGTTGACATGGGGCCGCGGGCCCGGCGGCATGTGGGCCTAGCGCCTGATCGATCATTCTAGTTCCCTTCGCCAGCCCCGCTCTGTGGCTGTGGTGGCCTCGCTCCGCCCACTCCGTGGCGGTGGTGGGCGGGGACAGGGGACCAGAAACGTGCCAGGAGTGAGAACATTTCATTGTAGAGCTTGGATTCGGTGCTGAGCTGTGGTATGGTCGGAGGAGCGGATCGTGTAACCTGGCGGGGAATTGTGTGGTGGTTGAGATGATGGCAGAGAAGCTCCCTGCTTCTTCTCCAGTTTGCGTGAACCGCTCACAAATCGCAGTGCCTCGGAAAAATGTTCACTACTTCCTTCGCCACTCTCACTGACATTCTTGTGGAGGTCGTAAGCGCTTCTCCAAACTGATTCTTCCATCAGGGGCCTTCTGTAAGGAGAGGCCATGCGAATGAAGAAACAGACTCCCATAACCACCCCTCTTCAAACCCTATCCTCCACGTGCCTTGACAGACGCTATGGCTCCGAAGAAAGCAAACAAGCGTGCAGGGAAGCCCCGCACAACCTTGCTGGCCCGTGGTGTCCCATCTCTGAGTCATGCCGCGGTACGTGCAAGGCATCTTTGCCCAAACTTGCTGTCCTACTTCTCTATCTACTCCCATTGGTGCTCAACAGCTTTCGTTATTTTTTTGTTGACCGCTTACTTCTTTCAATGCAGACTGTGAAGAAGGGGGGGCGGTATAGGTTCTTCGGCAAGGGCGGGAAGAAGGCTGCGGCGCCCGCGCCTGCTGCGGGCAAGGCGCCTCGCTTCTACCCGGCTGACGACATCCCTGTCCCTCGTCGCAGTGCGCGCCACATTCAGAAACCGACCAAGCTTAAGGCAGGTATCAAGCCCGGTTCTGTGCTGATTATGCTCGCTGGCCGGTTCCGTGGCAAGCGCGTGGTTTTCCTGAAGCAGCTGGCGTCGGGCACGCTCCTCGTAACGGGTGAGCAAGGGACCGAGACGCGGGAGGTGAAGGGAAAACGAGGGTTTTTGGTGCCAAGAGAGCATGTGTTAGAACAATTAAAAAGCGGATAGGCTGCAGATTTATGGAATGGTCAGCCGGTGTCATGTGGGTGTGTATGATTCGCGTGTCCGATGTTGCGCCCGATGATTAAATGCTTTAGAAATTGTGATGGCCCTGTGTCTGGCTCTCTGGCGACTAGAAGGGATGCAACGACAGGGGTGGCAGAAGGGGTTCGGGTGTTGGGACAAGCAATTTGGAGAAGAGCTGATGAGACATCAGTTTCAGGGTGTGGAAGTGAGCGTGTGCTCAGCACAGTTCTCTGATGGGCTCACTTTGAAGGACGGATAGGCTTGCACCTTTCCTGACTCTGGAGAGGTCAAGGAGAGAAACAGAGCCATCCGCTTTCGCGAGCGCCTTGTCGCTTGGTTCTCTTGCAGTGATTTCCGAATGCGTGGCCCATATCCCCTCTACCCGGCCTCCACTTTGGAGCTGTTGATTTGTCGATGGTTGGGCCAGCCTGTCGGGTTTATGACTTATGGATTATGAGAGATGAGGGCTGTTATGAGGGAGTATTATGCCTAGCCCCACCTGTATACGAAGGACTCATTTCCTCCCATCGCAGGCCCTTACTCATTGAATGGTGTCCCTCTCCGCCGAGTCAATCAAGCCTATGTAATTGTCACCAGCCAAGTGGTGGATATCTCAGCCGTCAAGGTGCCTGACACGTTGAATGATGCGTATTTCGCGGTCCCGGCGGATGTCAAAGGCAAGGAGACGATCCTTGCCGCTGGTGCGGGGAAGAAGGCGACTGAGGTGTCTGAGTCGCGCAAGAAGGACCAGAAGGCGGTGGACGAGCAGGTGCTGGTAGCTGTCAAGAAGGTGGCGCAATTGGATGGGTACTTGAAGGCGCGATTTTCCTTGAAAAAGGGCGTGAAGCCGCACGAGATCAAGTTCTAAGGAGGTGGAAGGGATGATGGGAGGATGCTTTGTGTTGGTTGTTGGGCGTTGTTCATGATAGGGTTTCTGGATCGGTAGGATCCGTCTGTCGTCATTCTTAGCTCTCTCTCTCACTTTGAGGGATGATACTCATCAACATGGTGGGAGGAATGCGGCGCCCACCACATCCACGATCGAACATTAGTCGCCCCCGGGCACACGTCGAAATAACTTAATTGAGGCGGGCGCATATTTTGTGCTCTAGTTTGAATTTATTCATCGTCGTTTATTTAATAAGCTGGTTAGTGCGACGAGTCGGGATATTTGGAAGCCAAGCTCCATCTCCACGAAACTCAGGATAGGAAGGCGTAAGCAGTAACACTGAAGATGTTTGTTCAATTGAGAGCCACAAACTTTAAATGACTGGCGTGCGTAGTCACCATTTTCGGAGCCAAATGTCCTTATCACATGGACTGTATACTGGGTTACGCGATTCGTGTGCTCGTGTCCAGGCGTCCACCTCGAGGCCACCCAACTTCACGATACCCGGAGGAAAGAAGCCACCTCGCCCTCGTTCGCTGCCTCGCTCAGGCTCGTTCAAACACAAACTCGCCTCCTCGCTCCTCACCTATCATCCCATTCATAGGTCTCAAGCACAGAGTCATCGATCGATCGATAGTCTAACATGGTAGCTGTAGCAGAGAAGGAAAATACAAAACCCGAAAATGTGTCCACTCCCCTTGTAGCTCTCTCCTCGTATTCTGTCAACAAGGGAAGTGATGAAGTAGTGGAGGACCTCACCTTACGGCCTAGCAAAGAGGACCGCTTAGCCCTGTGCGAGGCCCTCTATAAATGCACGGGTTCGTTCAAGCGCATAGTCTCCCCTTTACTCCCTTATCCGCTTGTCATCAATCGCCTACATCGGGACTTTGTTGAAGCGCAGGAGATGAGCGGAGGCTCGGCGAAGGAGGCCTTGATGACTTTTGCCATGAAGATGGAGGAACCCGGCACCAAAGCTTTTTTAAGTGACGCCCAGGCTCAGATTCGAGCGGAGCCAAAGGTGTACGCTCAGAACATGGTGGATGACGAATGGATTAGTGACTTCCAATCTCAAGTGGATTACGTACCGGGCCTGAGCAAGGGGAAGCGTCTGCTCGACTCCGAAGACGCCAAGCAGTTTGCCACTTTTGCCGATGAGATGAAAAGCGCCGGAAATAAATGTTTTGCATCGCAAGATTATGAAATGGCATTGACGCGGTACACGCAAGGGGTTGAGCTTTTGCAGCAAGTCGAGTGCAAAGACGAGCAGCCTCAGCGACACTTGCTTGAGCTCTACACCGCGCTCTTGACCAATCAAGCGATCGCAGGCTTGAAAACAAGCGCTTGGCGCACGTCGCTTACCGCGTGCACTGCTTGCTTGTCAATCAATCCTCGGAACCTGAAAGCACGCGCACGGCGGGCGGAGGCTTACACTTGCCTGGGCGACATGGAGGCCGCCGCCCTCGACTTGGAAGTGATCCTGCGGTTGCAAGCCACAGAGTTGCTGGAAGACCACGATCAAGACACGGCACAAGAGCTCTTAGCGGCCGCACAGAAGGATGCCAGAAAGCTCTCGCAGAGGATCGAGAGGATGAAGAGGGAGGAAAGCGCGACCGCCAAGCGCATGATGGCCGGGGCGGACTTTACTGCGGATCGACACAAGGAGAAGCCCCCCGCCCCGGACATCCCGCAGCCTCCTTCCATACTCTCGAGCTCGACATCCCGCTCTCGCGCCACGGATCCTCTGAGTGCTGCACGGCCGGTCTCAAGACTCTCCGCCAAGCCAGGCTCAGAGAAGCTCATCGACGAGGTGGTCGCCCTGGAGATCCAGCAAAGCCTCATGTACATATACTCCCAGCCCGTCGTGCAGGGCGAGCTGATCATGCTCCGTAAGGCGGCGGACTACGAATCAGGGCGATTCGTGCAGCGATTGCGGCCTTACCTGGCGAAGCTGTTGGCGGAGCCCATCTTGGACAGGTACAGTTTCGGGAAGGGGGAGGAGGGATACCGGAGGATGGAGCGAGCCCTCGGCCAGCACGTGACATCTAGCGCGGACGTCTGTGAGAACGCAAAAAGCCTCCTGGCGGTCTTGATGGGGGACCTGCTCGAGGAGTGAGGTCGGAGGGGTACAGCAACCGAGGAGGGGGAACCCTTGGCGGGCCGCCGGTTCCCCTGGAACTGCTGAGCGCGCTTGCCGGCAACATGACCCCAGGATACCCTGAGATTCCCAGGAACACAAATCAAAGCATCATGCACAAAAAGAAAAAGAGCGTATGGAAGACGTGCTTGCGGAGGATAGCGTCTCGCTCACCGAGAAGCTTGAGGAAGTCATGGATACCATCCACTATTTCGACTATTTTACGTCGTTTGTTCCACCGTCTCGAAATGACTTCCTCTTTCATTTCTGCCTCGTTCCTTTCTACTGCCTGCGCGGTCCTCGTCCTTGACGATCCATGAGAGGCTACGTTTTTTCATTTTCTTACTTTGATCTCACAGAATCGACACGACATGGCCCCTTTCTAAGAGGACATGACCCCTTTCGCCTTTTTCCCTTTTCTTCCGACAGGTTTTCCTTGCGACTCCTTTGGCCGGCCTGACTTCTGCTCAGACTTCTGCCGCTCTCCGTTACTAACTTTTCGCCCTCCGCCGACCTCATGCCGGCCCCCTTCTTGCTTGCTCTGCCCACTTTTCTTCTTCCCTTCCTTGACAACGTCCTCCCCTGACGCTTTTGGCGTTTTTGATTCCGTCTTTCTCGTGTGCTTATCCTTCTCCACCAACGGCCCGTCTCTCTCAGAGTTTGTTCCACTTGACATCGTCGCCTGGCCAGATACCCTCGATTCTGCAACCGTCGTCTCTGCGGTGCTCTGCGGGATCTCTCTGACCGGCCCTTGGGGCTGACTCCCCTTCTTCTTCTTTTTAATACGGAAAGGGGCTTCCTCCTCTCCCTTCTCAACTTTTTGCACACCTTTTCTTGTCTCATTCCCTCTACTTTCCACATTTTCGCCATCGCGCATCTGTTTCCTCTTTTTCCCCTTCGCCTCTGCCCTCTCTTCCTCCTCGTTCTTTCCGGGCAGCGCGTTCGTCAGCTTTTGCAGCTTGCAGACGAAGAAGCCATCCATGTTGTGGACATGGGGATAGAAGCGCCTGGTCAGGGCCAAGGACGGGTGGAATCGGTGCTCTGCGACCCGCGTGAAGCCCGGCCGCCCAAAGTCCCCGAGGCCCGTGGGCACCACGCGGACGTTAGGCCGGGCCCGGAGGATGTAGTCCACCACGAGCTCGTTCTCCTCCACCGCCACCGAGCAGGTCGAGTACACCAGCACGCCCCCGGTCTTGCTCCCCGCGTCCACGCAGTCTACCGCCGCCCGCAGCAGCTCCCTCTGTAGGTGCGACATCTTCCGGACGTCGGCCAGGGTCCGCTGGACCTTCACAGACTGGTCTCGGGCCACGATCCCCAGGCCCGAGCACGGGGCATCCAGCAGGGCGCGGTCGAAGCCCTTCATGACTGAGGGCAGCCGCCGGCCGTCATAGCTGCAAACCACCGCGTTCCGGACACCCAGCCGGTGCAGGTTGGCGATAGTGGCCTTCTGGCGCTCGGACTTAAGGTCGTTCGCCACCAGCAGCCCCGTGTTCTTCATCAGCTGCGCGCAGTAACTCGCCTTGCCCCCCGGCGCCGCCGAGAGGTCCAGCACCCTCTCGTGGGGCTGGGGCGCCAAAGCCATCACGGGCGTCATGGAGGAGGCGCTCTGCAAAATGTAGTGCCCTGCCAGGTACTCCGGGGTCGCTCCCACGGGGACCTGGGAGTCGATGATCTTCAGCGCCACCTTGGACCAGCCGCCCGCCAGGGGCTCCAGACTCACCCCCCGCTTGAGCAGGGCCTGCGCCAGGTCCTTGCGCCGCGTCTTGAGGGTGTTGGCGCGGACGACCAGGGGCCTGGGTCGGTCGTTCGCGGCCATAAACTCCACGCACTCCGCGGGCCCCAACATGGTCAGGAACATTCCCGTCAGCTCGGGCAGGTATCCGTGGTGCTCCGACAGGTCACGCCCCAGCTGCCTCACGTACTCCGCCCGCGCGACTCCTGCCTTCCGGCGCGCGCGGAAGTCGGAGAGAATGTGAACCACCTCCTCGATCCGCTCCTTCAGCCCGGAGGCGAGGCCCGCGACAGGCCAAGGCCCCCCTTCTCCTCCCTCGTCGCCTGCCTCATCCTCCTCATCTTGATCTCCCTCGTGTCCAACCTCAAAATCCTCTTCCTCGTCTGCAACCTCCTCTCCACTCTCTTCACTCTCGCCTGACATAAAATCGTCGGCCTCATCCCCTTCCCCCTCCTCCTCCTCCTCGTCATCCTCGTCTTCTTCCTCTTCTTCTTCCACTTCATCCTCCGAAGGTAACAAGCCATTCGTATTGCTCTTCTTCATTTTGAGCCATGACTGGTTGTCGTCGGTGAAGCCCAGATCTTTCGCATGAAGTTCCTCTTCATCGGAGCCCGACCCCTCCAATGCTTCATCCTCTTCACCAACTTCCTCGGCGTCCTCGTCCTCCGCTTCGCTCTCCTCAACCTCACTCTCGCTTTCCAGCTCAGTTTCCTTCCCCTTTTTCTTTCCTCGCAGCTGATGTTGCCGTCCATTGCTTATCGGTTTAGTGGATGGTGCGAGGGGCAGCTTGCGTTGCCGCTCCGCCGTGTCCCTTCGAGTAGCCCGAGCGTCGCCGCCATCATTACGACGGATTGCCCTTGAAACAGAAGATGGTGAGCCGCTTTGCACGGACGGGGCTCTCTTCTTCCCCATCGAATTGGAGAATTCAGCCTTTATCATTTGCAAAAAAAGAAGGAGATGTGGGTCTGTGGGCTACAAGTATGGTGAGGCTTGTTACCATATGGAAGAAGTATACTCCGACCAAGAAGACTAGAGGCGCCATTTGCTGATGCCCGAATTCCTTATGCTTGGTTTCATGTAGACGGAGCCCCACGGAGCCCGTCTCAGTATGTTTCTATGTCCATGCCAAGAGGACCTACAATTTGGTAAACCTCATGGTGCTGGATGAACGGCGTGGGGGGCCAATTCATCACATCTAGACAGTCAAAACGGCCGAGGAAAAAATGTGCACATGCAGGGATCCTTCTCGATCCCACAATAGTAAAAATGTTCGGGGCGCCGCGTGGTATGCTTTGTAAGACACCCCGGAAGGGGTGGTATCTTGCAAGCCCTTAGTGCTGCCTCCTGCGACGATAGGCAGCGAGGAGAGGTCTGACATCGGCCCTCTCACGCCGAGGTTTCCTGCTCCTCCCGGCGCCCGAAACCAGCGCGGCCGTGTCACCCGCACGGCGCATTTTTGTCGCATAAACCTGGGGTGTACGATGAAGTGCGCGTGCGTCGGGCGCTGTGGCCCGGTGACGTGCAGACCGAGACACGTGGTCTCTAGGCAAGGAACGAGACGCGGCGTCGGGGGGAGCGGCAAGTCTCGTCGGCACGAGAGTAAAAAGAAATTGCGGTTCTCACCCAAGGGCCTGCGCCAAATCCACTCATACTCTCACTTTGTTACACTTCATCACCAAAGCAGTTGATAGCAGGACGGTTTGCATCCTGGGTGTGAGGGCATTCTCTGAGCAGAACGAAAAGCCTCACACCATCTTCAGAATCCCGGTTTTTCCGGCTGTGTACTCGTAGGCGGATTGAGCATATGGAGGGAGAGCAGGCAACAGATGCGACGCCAAAGCGGGCCAAGACTGATGGTACGGGCGAGCGTGATGAAATGGAAGACGGGGGCGACGCCATGATCGTGGATGGAGATGAAGGCTTGAAAAGGGAACCTGACCTGAGAGAAAGGGTTGCGGCCTACCTGCGGGACCCCGCGACGGCCTTAAAGCCAGATCCTCCAGATGTGCCATCTTTCATGGAAAGCCCTTTTCGCTACAATCCGAAAGCAAAAATTCTGAATCCAGAGGAAACGCAAGGGAAAGTGGATGCCGACGGGAACACTGCTCTGATAATGGCGATAAAAGCAGGTTCCGAAAAGTAAGTGGAGGACGGGGGCGCAGTGGAGTGATGGCCATGCTTTGTGTTTCAGAGAATCACACGTGGTTGAATCAATTATTAAGTGCTCTTCAGTTCCCCTTCTCATATTTATCCCCCCTCCGTTTGCAGAGCTTTCTTTCTCCTTCTCGACGGGAAAGACCAGGCTTACATCAACAGGCAAAACTCCAAAGGCGCCACCGCATTAAACGTGGCGGCCCACCGAGGCTACGTAGCCCCGGTCCGAGAGCTTCTCGACACGGCTCACGCGGACGTGAACATCCCCAACAGCAGCGGCTCCACCTCCCTCATCCAGGCCTCCCACTTCGGGCACACGGCGGTGGTTCGCCTCTTGTTGCAGCACGGCGCCGCCGTGGACCTGCCCAACCACAAGGGGACGACGGCCTTGATGCGAGCGGCGCAGGAGGGCCACGTGGCGGTGGTGGCAGCGCTGCTGAGAACCGGTGGGGACGTGAACCGCCGCAACCACGAGCGGATGAACGCCCTGATGCTTGCGTCGCAGCGCGGGCACGACGGGATTGTGCACATGCTGATCAAGCACGGCGCGGACATCGACTGCCAGACCGTGCAGGGTTCCACAGCGTTGATGCTGGCCTGCAAGCGCCAGCACGAAGCCGTCGTGCGGGTCCTCTTGACGGCGGGGGCAGAGATGTTTGTCCGAGACAGTCGCGGACGGACGGCCAGGGACACGGCAGTGAAACGGAATCACAAGCCCATCATCGCCATGCTGCAGGCAAGCCGACAGGTCCGCCTCATGCAGCAGGAGGCGCGGATCGTCCGCTCTCGGGTGCTCGTCCACATGTACGAGCTCCTAGGCCGAAAACGGGCGGTGCCTATACCGGAGGTGGCCGCGGGCCTGGCGGCCAGGGAGAATCGACGGCGGTCTCGCGAGGAGGCACGGCGGGCGCAGACACAGCGTCAGGAGTGGGGGAAGCGGGCTTACGGACGAAAAGGGGGTGGGGAAGGGCCTCATTTGCA